GATTTCTGAAACAGGAGATGCTGCCTGTAACCTCTAACTCCACATAATCCCAGATTAGATACCAACATCTCTACTTTATAGAAATTGGAACAATTCTTTAAAAGGTAAGATATTTATTAAAGTCATATGAGTTGTCAATAATTGTCAGAGTAGAGTGATGAGCACAAATTTGCATGGCTCCATAAACGTCATCTCAAACATCCCCAAAAGGCTGCATCAGGGACATTCCATGGAAATGTGAAAGTTTTTAAAATGCCAGCTAAGTTCTGGGTTTCTAAAGCTTCCCTTTGCTCCTGTGCTTAGATGTCAAAGGACTCAGGCTCTTCAGTTTGCACTGTTAGTTATGGATGGAGAAATTCCGTGACTCAGCAGCCCAGACAGGGTTCTTATGTGGCAGAGAAACCCTCTGGCAGAGGTTTTACAAGAGTGCTGCTTTGACAGTTTATTTTAAACTAATTGTCAGAGACACACTAACTGAAAGGAAATATGTATCTAGTCACTTTGTCACTGCAGTGAAAGCAGCATTCAGTGCACAGCAACCCAGGAAGCAAAGGAAAAGTACAAATGGAAACACTCACCCTCCCTCATTGACCTCCACCTTCACCACCTCTCAATTACCCTCCTTCATTTCCCCTCCCCTACTCACTCTCCCTCATTCACTTTCCCCCACTCGCCCTTAGTCCCCCTCCAGCACTCACCCTTCCAGTGAATAATTGTTCTTTGTAACATGCAAGCTTCTGTGGAATTTTTACTTCAATATTTTACTAGGTGTCTGGCAACTCAGTACTAAAGGAGGCGAAGGCTTAAATACTGAAGTAAGCAGATAAATAAATATTTTGTTGTAACCCACGATTCCCAAATTACAGTGTAAAGAATTGATTTCTCATCGAGGCTCTCAGCCATGCGCTTTCTGAGCAGCCTCTGGCAAGCTGTAGATGACCCTCTTCCATCTAAAAGAAGTACTTTGTGTGGATCTGGCCCCTGAACAGCCAGTTTCCTTTGCTCTGTCTTCTTCACAGAAAGATTTGCATTTCAATCTGCCCCAGATTCCTAACAGGAGCCCGAATTTCAACTGTGCACAAATCTCAAAACAGACAGTACAAAGAAAAGAACTAGTATGTATATTGTTTACACCAAACTGTTTGTTTTAGGCTATAAGTATACATGAAAGGCATTATTTCAAATCTGTGTGATAGTGAACTTCTTTTAAATTATTACAATTGAGAAAGAGCTACTTTATGTCTATGTTTCCATATTCTTAAAATTAAAAAGAAACTATTGATGAAAAACTTCAGGTTATATTAATTATTTTCTCAATCTAAAAATATTTTATATACATCTTAAACTACGATATTCTACTGTACATTTTATCATGCTCATGCATTTAATGTAAAAGCAAAGTCAAGTTACATTGTCTTTTTTTAAAAAAAAACCTTTGAAATTATAAACAAACATTATACTTCTTGCCTCACAAAAGGTAAAAATGTGAAAAAAGAAAATGGAGGGTATGAAACCATATTAGCACACACAGATACCTGTTACATAGTATTCCTTAAAATTATTTCTTTTTCTGTAATTGCAAAGATGTTTTATAGGAACATCTCAAGAATATCAGCACTCTTCTGATTATAGAAAACAATTGATTGTTTAAAATGATCCTAATATTTTTCTATTAAAAAGAATTGTTTTTCTCTATCAATGACAATAATCTTTCCTTCTTGCCTCTGAAGTAGTTCAGAGACAATATGATGAATTGACATATCAATTATTTCTAGCTATAATCATCTGAGGAACTCAAATTTTCTTTTAAATGGATCCCTGACCTATTTTGTCCTTTGTGCTACATGCCATCCATCCTTCCACATAGCTTGATGACACTCATCCTTTGCAAATCTGATCACTGAAAAGTGGAAACCTGGTTACAGTGAATGCAAATCAAGAAACTCTGAAGTAAAAGCTGTGTTCTGTCTCACATGGCCCATCTGCATATGTCTGCTAGAAAGACATCTGTAAGGCACAGCCACAGTACAGATATCCCTTAACGTACATTCCTTCTAAATTAACTGTTCTTTATTTAAAGGTAAGTATCATGCTTGATCATTTCTTTGGACTCCAGTCTCACCTGAAGTCCCACATATTTATGCAAACTTAAGTAAACTTCTAGACTTCCCCCTTTCTTAATTAGTTCTTGCGCTAAATAGGATTCTGGAACCAACCAAGGGGCCCTTAAGAATTTAATAGGCTTATTTATTTCTGCATCCTCCGTTCTGTTCCGTTGATCTACATGTTTTTTTTTTTCTTGTTTGTTTTTTCTTGTCAGCACTGTGCAGGCTTTGTTACTGTAGTTCTATGCCATAGGTTGGGATTGGGCACAGTGATATATCTAGCCCTGCCATTTCTGTTAGAATTGCTTTGGTTATTTTGGATTTTGTGTGCTTCCACTAAGTTTCTCATATTGACTTTTTTAGTCCTATGAGCAACATAATGGGGATTTTTGATAGGGATTATATTGAATATGTAGATTACTCCTGAAACACGTTAGTTGTTAGTTTTTACACTATTGGTAACTCCATAAATATGGAAAGTTTATTTATCTTTCTGCCTTCTTCAATTTCCTATGAAAGAACTTTTAGTTCACTCATAAACTTGTTTTAAGTTGCGTACCACATACTAAGCAAAAGTTTTCTACTAAGCTATATTTTCAGAGAGCAAATTACTGTTGTGTGTTGATTTTTATATCTTGCTATTTTGCAAGATTTTTTGTGTGTGTTTGTTTCGTTTTGGGGGGAGAGTTTCATCAATAGGATTTGAAAGCTTTTGTATAACAAAGGAAACAACTGCCAGAGTGAAGAGGCAACTGCACATTGGAAAGAAAATTTTGCCAATTACACATCGGACAGGGGGTTACAATATAGAATACATACATGACTCCAAAAATTAAACAGCCATCAAAAAGCCAAAATATCTAGCCAATACATAGCCTAATGAATTTAATTGACTTGAGCAGGAGAAAAAAATAGAAACTACCAACAAACAATGGAAAAAAAGTTTTCAGTACCCTTAACCATGGAAGAAATGTAAAATAACATCACATTATGAGTTGGGGAGATGGCTCAGCCAGTGAAGTGCTTGCCACGTAAGCATTAAGACTTGGATTCTGTACCCAGCCCCACGTAAAAAGTCAGGTGTGGTGGTGTCTACATGTAATCTCAGAGATGAGGAAGAGACAGGAATTGCCTAAGGGCTTCTTGCCCATCCAGCCTAGTATCCAAAGAAGCCTCAGATCCTAGTCTCAGGCACAAAATGGACAGTTTCTAAAGAGTGAAACCCAAGGTTGATCTCTGCCCTCCACATTTATACACACACATGAGCACACACATATCCATACCCTTACACATGAACATATATATGTAAATATATATCTACACATGAATATGCTCATTTTTATATACAAAACAATTGATTGTTTAAAATGATCCCAATTTTTTCTATTAAAAAGAATTATTTTTCTGTATCAATGACAATAATATTTCCTTCTTGCCTTTGAAGTAGTTCAAAGACAATATGATGAATTGACATATCAATTATTTCTAGCTGTAATCATCTGAGGAACTCTAATTTTCTTTTAAATGGATCCTTGACCTATTTTGTCCTTTGTGCTACAAGCCATCCATCCATATTCTCTCTATATATATGTCTACAGCCAAAATAAATAATATTAAAATAAAATTAAAAAAAAGAAGAAAAGATCATGCTGTATGACTTGGCTACATCACTCCTGGGCATACTTGAAGGACTTTAAGACAGCATATCACAGAGATAACTGCATATTTCTGTATAACATATATATATATATATATATATATATATATATATAACATATATAACACACACACACACACATATATATATATATATATATATATATATATATATATATATCTTACTAACAATAGCAAAGACAGGAAACAGGAAATTAGTTTAGAGGTTCATCAACAGATCAACTGGTAAGAAATGTGATATAGAGAACAGAATTTTATTCAGCCTTTTTGGATTGATGCAGAATATAATGACATTTGCAGGAAAAGAGATAGAACCCAAGACCATTCTAAAAAGTGAAACAGGCCAGACTTCACAAAGACAAATATTATATTTTTTTATATATGGAATCTGTATTTAAATTTCTTTATGTGGCTATGGCATGAAAGTAGAGAGGGATCTATGAGAAGAAAGGAATTGCTCAAACGGAGGTTCTCTGGTTAGGTTTTGTCAACTTGGCACAAGCTAGCATCATTTGAGAAGAGAGAACTCAGTTGAGAAAATGCCCCACTAAACTGGCCTATGGGCTAATCTGTGTGCATTTTCTTAATTAGTAGTTGATGTGGGAGCCCTGGCTCATTTTGAGTGGTGCCCCCTCTGAGCAGGTGGTCCTTGGGTGCTATTAGAAAGGAAGGTGAGTATGCCATATAGATCAAGCCACTAAGAAGCGCCCTTCCATGGCCTCTGCATCAAGTTCTACCTCCAGGTTCCTGTCTTGAGTTCCTGCTTTGACTTCGATGATTGACTGTGATGGGGAAGTTTATTAAAATAACTCCTCTTCTCCCCAAGTTGCTTACAGCCATTAGGAACCCTAAGTAGGATAAGAGGGTAAGGCTGCTTTAACAGAATACATGTTGCATGAAAACAGAAGTGGACTAACTGCGAGGATAGTGACAGAGTTACAAAGGAAGGAGAGCAAGTGGAACCAAGCAAATATAATAATAGGCATGTACAAAGCTGCTGCACAGAAGCTCAGGCAGTCTGTGTGCTCATGAAGTTTAATAGCAACCCCTCCTCCCCCACAAAACAGTCTCTCATAGAGAAAGCAGATTCCTTGTGATCAAGCAACTGACTTCATTTATACTACTAACCTGTAATCTTTTTTGGGTTTAGTTCAAAGTCATGCGGAAGTATCATATTAAACTTGTCAATATTAATGTTAAAAAAAAATAAATACTTACCAACTGGTTCCTTTTGGTTCTGAAAGAGAATCTTGCTGTTACTTCCATCCATATTTGCCATGTTTATTGTATTTCCATCTGTCCAGTACAGTTTCCTTAATTCAAAAGATATGAATTAAAATATTACATGCAGATCCACTTATTGAAATGAATCAGATATATGCATATTATATATGCATATATATATGAATAGAGAAGAAAATATTTTGAGCACAGAATTAATTCTTTTCCCAAAAGGCCTAAAAATGGCCTAGGAAGAAAACATCTCTTTTGCTTTCAGGTCTCCTTGAAGAGATTTTCTTATTCTCATTTCCTTCCAATCTCAAACCTGATGCCTAACCAAGACTACACCAAACTACTTTTATTTTGTCTTTCATCAAAACCAAATCCTCCTGGTTGAGAAGGAATTAGATGCTGTAGATGAGAAGAAGCTCATCTTAGCTGTTTCTCCTGAAAGCTTAGGTGTCACACAGGCTCCTGGACTCACCAGAGACAAGAGCAGGGCCACTTGGCAGTGACACAGAGTCAGGAAATGTTAACAACCAGCATTCAAAATGAAACTGCTTTTCCTTGACAAAGCTTTTTGTTCTAAACTCCCATTCCCTAGACACACACACATACACACACTAATGAGAGTTTATAAATTGTATTTCCTTTGGATAAAAATCTCCAACCAGGACTCTGAATCTTCTACAATTTCCATCTTCACATTTACATTTTGATTCTACCTTTGTCTGAATCCATCATCTGAATTAAACAATTATTTTATGTAAAATATAGACTATAGTACAAAATGTCACAAAGAGAAAAAAACTTTTTAAAAATCATACTTTACCCTCTGACTGGGTGAGCTGCCAGACACTGCGGTTTATCGATTCCATGGATAATTGAGGTTTTCAAAGAGCCGTCTAGCCTTGCCACATTAATTTGTGTTTCATCAAATTCTGAGCTAATCCAGTATAAGTTACGTGAAACCCAGTCCACTGCTAACCCTCTGATACTCTGAATATCTGTAAAACAGGATAAAGAAAATGGAGAGTGACTGGTTCACATTCCCCTGGCTTTTCTGTCTAAGGGAAACCTAATTTATACTTTAATTTGTTAGCTAAAATTGTACAAGATGGTAATCTCATTGCTTTATCAACACTTCTGAAGGCAGGTATAATCATTAATGTCTAACTGCTGAGGCATTAGGAAACCTGAAGCAACAATTACCATTAAAATTAGAGTAACAGTCAGTGATTCACCAGTGAACCCTTATGACAGACACTGGTAGAAGTCTTGTGGGTGGAGGTGGCCACGTTAAATAGAGAGTTATCGCTCCTGCAGTTGGTAGCACCAGGTCTACTTAGGAGAAAGTACTGTGTCTGTGCACAAATGGGCTGTTTGATGTTTTAAGTGCTGATTTCTCTGATGTGTACTTCACTGATGTGAAGTAAAATAATTTAACTTTCCTAAAAAACAGCAGACTTGAGTACTTTTCAACACAGATAATTAATAGGAATTTAATGAAATATGAGAATAAAACTAAAATCATTTTAACATCACTCCAAAATGTGGGTTCTGCAGTAATGACTGAAACCTAATTAAGTGTGGATCCAGTGCCACTAAAGAGAGTGTCTGGACTGCTTTTCTTTGATTAGTGAATTGGGCATCTTGAAAAACAAGCATGGGGATGCATCTTAAACAGTAGGACATTTTAAAAACAAGCATACTGAAGAGAACGGATATAAATTGTGGAGTTTAGTAAAGGATAGCGAGGTCGTTTTAGTGCCTGTATGTGCCATTTGACAGCTCAACACTGGACTTGCCTTTTTTGCATTTTGTCATTTTCTAACATTTGGTACTTCGAGGGTCATTTAATCTTCAGTTCCTTAACCTTACCCTGTACTTGTGAAAACACACTGTTCAGTGGCTGTGGGAATGGTCGAGGTACTGAGGGCGGAGGTGGTTCCCAAGCGGGAGCTAACTGCAGGGCTGACCAGTCCAGGCAGTGTTATTTCATTCCAACGCAATCAATACAATTTCCCCGTCCAAGGGAAGCTAGCAAACTAGATTTTTTTTTTTTTTCAATGCAAAAGTAGAAAACTTCAGACTTTAAAAGTTGCTAACAAAGCAGAGGACCTGGAGTCCAGTAGCTTAGCTGTTGCTGGGGAGCACAGAAAGGGGTGCTACCTGATTATTATACTTCCAAGTTTAGGAAGCATTTCTTCAGTCTGCCTGGCTCTTACAGCGCCAGATCCAGTCTCGCAAGCTCAGCGCGCTCTCTTGGTAGGGTTCCTCCCGACTCTCACTGTTAAACTGCTACATTCTGAATTTGGACTCCCTTCACTGCACAATCTCATATTTATGTTTTGTTTTCGAGACAAAAATAATGCAACACTTCTTTGAAATTAGGCTTTCCTTCTCACTCCAGGTATACTTCCTTCTACCTCACCCTCTGGAGTCCGCTGGCTGCAGAGAGGCTGTGCTATAAGAATGAGATTTTGCGGTAGGCTCCAACCCTGGGGGGCCTAGTTCTTTGTTATTGGTATCAGTTACATGGATTTTTTTTTCAGCATCTTTACTTATCTTAACCCAAGGCAACTCAGAAATAATACAAAGGATTTTTGGAATTCCTTTGGAGGATGTAACATGGCTCTACTAGAAGACATGTTTTATAAAATATTTTTGTTTTATCTCTCTGATGCTCAAGCATCTTAGATTACTTACTAAGTGAATCAAATATATGGCCTTCTTTAACTGTAAAGCCAAACTCAGTATATATTATCAACATATATTTCCAATATATTGACTAGTTGCTTAGCCATGTGCAACATACATATTTATAGTGACATAGTAAACTCATCAACTATGATCTGGAATTTTAAGGATATGCCAACTAATCTCAAAGCTCAAGGATAAAGCTGAAGTGTGTTGGGGTGTTTTTATCTGAGTATATACATTTGGGCAATCTCAATCAGAACTTTGTATCCTTGTAATATTTTTGGCCCCAGATGGCATTTTCGGTTACCGGTCTGACAGTTGAAATCAAACTTCTCTGTTTTTACTGTAACTAAAGCCCATGAATCATTCATTGGTTTAGGGAACTCTATAAACAGCCCATTAAGGCCATGAAGAAAAACAGGAAGAAATAAAGAAAGAAAAACAAACAAACAAAGAAATCACTGTGTATCTTTGTTCTCTTTAACAAAAATTTTGCAATAATGTATTTTGACTCCTAAAACCTATTTTTCTGAGCATGTTTCCCAGAAAGTTCAGCTTTTTTCTGTTTTGGGGAAGCCTACTTTCTTGAACTAACACAGATGTATTCTTTCATACCAGAAAATTCACTGGTGCATGATAAAATTTAATTTCCAAATTTATGTCAAAATCAGTAGACAGATGAATGACTGCTTGCTACACACACACACACACACACACACACACACACACACACACCAAGTACATTTTATCTAAAGCTATAAAGGTAAGCAAATGGGAGTTCAGAAATGTGGCAAGTATCAAGACAAAACCCATACAGAGAATCTTCCCTCTTGTGGGATATTTGCTGCTTGGTATAATATAACTCATGAGTGAGAAAGCAAGCCCGAATGAGCATTAAAAAATTTTGTATATCATTACCAGTAAGTAAATGGGGAAATTAATTTCTGTTTAAGAACAATTTTTTAAAAAATATTAATCTAGCTTTTTCTCTTATTTCTTTAGATATATAAAAATGTTAGAATATTCCCACATGGTTCATTAAGCATTACACTACTAGAAATACACTTGTCAGCAGAGAGTTAAATTGATTTTAGACTAGACAGGCCTCATTTTTCCTACATCAACCATAAATCTTGGTCTTTCATGGAGGAAATGTATTAAAAGATACTGTCATATTCCTATAGGTAAAGTTTATTGTGATAGTAGAAAGGAATAATATAAGACATTCGAACAAATGAAATGGAAGAGGAAAGTAATCAAGAATGTCCAAGTTTAAACATTATGTGTAGAATAATCAAAACCAGCTTGACTAGTAAACAAGAAAAAAAAGTTAGCCGTAATGACAATGGAGAAGCTAGAAGCTTCTAGAAGCTAGAAGCTGGGTCTGAAAGACAGAGTGAGTAATTTAATATACTTTTTTTTTATTTTCTGAGTTACTTTTATTTTTTTATTCTTTAAATATTAGTTACAGTTTATTAACTCTGTATCTCAGCTGTATCTGCTCTCTCATTCTCTCCCAAACCCACCCTCCCTCCCTCATCTCCTCCCTGCCCCTTTCCAAGTCCATTGATAGGGGAGGTCTTCCTCCCTTTCCATCTGACCCTAGCTTATCAGGTTTCCCCAGGACTGGCTGCAATGTCCTCCTCTGTGGCCTAGCAAGATTGGTCCTCCCTCGGGGATGGGGAGGAGGTCAAAGAGCCAGCCATTGAGTTCATGTCAGAAATAGTCCCTGTTCCCCTTACTAGATACTTAATCAAGAGAAACACTTAAAGAGATGCTCAACGTCCTTAATCAATGTTTTCTAAGGATAGCGTTTAAAAAGAGAAGGAAGAACTTTGAGCTAATATTGAGTTTTTCCACTAGACTAATAAAAGACAACCCCATCCCCCAATGCAAAAGAATAATATTGTGAGAAGATGAAGAAATGATTGCAAAGACACATGAACAAATTCCGAGACTAACCAGATAAACTTGATGGCTATCATTACAATGGTGAAGCTAAAAGGAACCTGGCTAGTACTTGCACAACTGTGAGAATATAATCCTTAACGTAGAATTTTGTACTGAGCTGAATTTGTTTAAGGTGCAACTTAACAACCAAGACAAAGGCTGATTTAAAAACAAACATATGACTTGAACAGAAATTCATTCTTAGACGACATAAAATAGTTTCTACAGGCAATCACAATAAACTACACATTCCTTAAAAAACAGAAAAAAATTGAGTGTTTTCACCATTAAGAGGTGATACATTCCATGAGATTGATACGTTTACCAATATTTAAATGTTACATACTATACGCATGAATCAAGGTTTCACCTCTCCTTGCTCACTTCTGCACTAGTACCTCCAACCTCTATGGAATTATCAGTCACCTTACCTCTTAGCCATATCATAACTTTTGCACAATGCCCAAAGTCTGCCCATTGCTTTACGTACCTCAAAGTTCTAGGCTAAATTTTGTTTTTATTTTTGACATCTGCTGGCATGATCTCAGGTAAACAATGCTGGTCTTGATCTGGATCCTTCTATCTCTATCTACCCAGTTCTCAGATTAGGTTAGGTATGCACTATGATGAGGCCCTGGGGATCAAAGCCAGGACTTAGTGTAGACCAGTTAACCAGTCTACTGCCGGACCCACATCTTAGCTCTCGGCTAATTTTTGTTTCAAATTTAGATCATTTCTGTAACTTCCTAATGTCATCCTTGCCAGTTATTGTGGGGCCGAGGGAGCAGTGCAACCGGAGGAGCCAGTCCAAAGCAGGAGTTGGCTCAAGTCATGTCCAACCCTAGAAATCTCATTACGAGAGTGGTAGGGGTAAGGATGACTCCCTCACCTGCCCCAAGCCTGCATGTCCCAGTGAACAGTGAAGGTAGCCTTTTGGTCACCAGCGCTGCCACCCTTGAGTTGGTCACAAAGCCTACTGGCTGCGTAACAGGTAAAGTTTTCTGTCTCTTTATAAGATCATGTCCAGCAAGCACTTGGAATTTCTCCTCAAGCAAATGAGGAATTCCCAGCACCTTAGCCATGGGCAATTCCAAAAGCCACTCTCTACTCCCCAGAGGTCTAAATAGCTTTTGTTCCTCACAATTAAATGAAGACCTGATAGACTAGGATCAGAAGGAAGGAGAGGAAGACCTCCCCTATCAGTGGACTGGGAGAGAGGCATGGGTAGAGAAGGGGGAAGGAAGGTGGGATTGGGAGGGAAGGAAGAAGGGAGCTACAGGGGAGATACAAAGTGAATAAATGGTAATAAATAAAAATAAAAATAAAAATAAAAATAAATGATCTGCTCAACGAA